ATGAGACCTTGAGTGCTAAATATTTGGAAATGCCTTCTGAAGTGGGGGCCTCCAAAAACGGTGCTTTTAAGTACCTGAAGGATTATCTGTGGAGTAAAGTCCAAGGATGGATAGAGAAAACAATGTCTTCAGCAGGGAAGGAGGTGCTAGTCAAATCAGTGGCCCAAGCAGTTCCAGTTTTTTCCATGTCTTGCTTTAAGTTGCCTAGGGGATTGTGTGAGCACTTGAATATGCTAATACGGAAGTTCTGGTGGGGAAGTAAAGATGGCAAAAGGAAACCTAATTGGGTCTCATGGGAGGCAATGACACAACCTAAGAGCATGGGAGGATTGGGTTTTAAAGATTTTGAATTGTTTAACTTGGCTTTGTTGGCAAAGCAAGCATGGAGAATATTACAGAGTCCAGAAGCTCTTAGTGCTCGAATCCTTAAAAGTGTTTACTTCCCACACACTTCTATTTTGCTCGCTGAGTTGGGCAATCATCCAAGTCAAATATGGAGAGCCATAGTTGAGGGCCGGGATATATTAAAGCAAGGTTTGATTCGAACCGTTGGTAATGGAAGCTCTACCAACATATGGTCGGACAACTGGATCCCTAGAAAGGAGATGATGAGGCCTTTTGGAGCAAGAGTAAATAACCCCCCAGAATTGGTATCCGAATTGATTGACTCAACTTCGGCGGCTTGGGATCTGGCTAAGTTGGCAGAAATCTGCTTGCCGATTGACATACACACAATATTACAAATACCTATCTGTACTAGCAATACTCCAGATACTTGGCGCTGGTTTTATGAGAAAAATGGGTGCTTTTCTGTCAGATCTGCTTATAGGATGATGATTGACACCAAACTGCGAAGAGAAGCCTGGCTTGATGGTTCTTCTGGTTCGTCAAGCACCGATGGCGAGGCATTATGATGGAAGGTACTTTGGAAAACCCAAGTCCCCGGTAAAATTCGAATGTTTTTATGGAGACTTGCAAAACAATCATTCCTTGCAGAAGATGTCCGCGCACACAGGGGGATGGCCTCGTCCAGAGCATGTGGGTTGTGTGGCGCGCAGGACTCCTGGCGCCATTCCATGTTGGAATGTTCGATGTCTTGATGCGTTTGGGCTTTGGTTGATGGAGAGCTGGCGGAGCATCTTTGTGCAACGACGGAGCCAAATGCAAAGCAATGGTTGTTCACTATGATAGACACATTGTCACACGACGCGTTTATCCGACTCACAGTCACACTCTGGGCATTGTGGTGGGCGAGAAGAAAGGCAGTACATGATCAAATTTTCCAAAGTCCGTCCGCAACTCACCAGTTCATCACTCGGTTCATTAGTGAGCTGGAGCTCCTACCAACATCAGGGAAGAAGCACGCGGCAGGTCTGAAACCAGCTGTAGTTAGACCCAAAGCACCTCCTGTAGGGTATGCAAAGATCCATGTGGATGCTGCAGTCTCAAAAGTTCATGCAAGGGGAGCAGCAGCTGCAGTTCGTCGAGACGAAACAGGAAAATTTCTGGGAAGTTCAGCCCTGGTGCTCAAGGGAATAACAGATGTAGCGACCCTGGAAGTTCTAGCTTGCAGAGAGGGTTTAGCTTTGGCAGAAGATCTCTTGCTCTAGGATTTTATCATCGCTTGTGACTCAAAACAGGTAGTCACTGATATTGAGAAGGCAAGCAAAGGGAGTTATGGGGCCATCATCCACGAAATCAAGGCTAGAACGCGTAATTTTAATTGTAATTTTATCTTCGAAGGTAGAGCAGCAAATCATGATGCTGATAGATTAGCCAAATACTCGCATTCCTTGGTTCAGGGAAGACATGTCTGGATGTCAATACCACATGATCCATTTTGTATTCCACAAGTTGTGGACTATGAGCAATAAAGTTTTGTTATACCCCTAAAAAAAAGCTACTGTCTGGCACCGAACGAGACATAACCGTGCGAGCTCCTAAGTGGCGCCTTAAGTTCCAGATGGAGAAACTGGCGCCCACATGCACCACCTTGGCAGGCCAGCTCATTAAACCATCGCTCCCATGCTCGCTCCAGCTTCATTCGCTCGATCAACTCGCTTGCTTGCAATTTGTTTGGCTGCGGTGCCCTACTGGTTCAAGAAAAAAAGGCCTCCATTCTTTTGCGATTTGAGTATGTTGGTGATATAAAAAAATCATAGATTTATTAAATGTTCAGCGGTTTTGAAAAGTTAACGAAATTTTAAAATATATCACTCAAAATAAAAAAAATCATGATATTATGAAAAAAGTTCAACGATTTTTTACAAGTTCGACAATTTGAAACAAGTTCATCGAATTTGAAAAAATCATTAATTTTCAAAATAGTTAATTGAATTTGATAGAAAAAGTTCATCAATTTGAAAAATTTGATCAATTTTATTTTTTTATAAAATTATTCACGAATTTGAAAGAAAATTACCTATTCAAAAAAAGTTCAGCGAATTTGAAAAAATCATCAAGTTGATTTTTTTATTGATTTTAGAAAAAAGTCCATTGATTTTGAAAACAAATTCATTGCTTTTCAAAAATATTCACGACCTTGAAGAAAGTTCGGGCATTTAGTAAAAGAGCAAGAAACACAAAGTGAAAAAAGGAAAAATAAAAAAACCCGTTTCAAAAAAAGGAAAACCGGTTTGGGGATAAAGAATAAAAGACAGAAAAGAAGTATGTAGGCACTAGTGTCGGACTGTCCTAGTGTGTGGTGCACTGCTCTCTGAACCTGGAGCTCCCAAGTTCAAACCCCGCCGCGCACACCCTTTGATGCTGCAGTTTGAAAAAAGAGAGGAGAAAACGGCCCCGCACATCGCGGTGGGGTGTGTGCACTCGTATGCGAAAAGTGAAGAAACGGGCGCATAAGGATAAGGTGTCATTTAGGATTTGCCCATAACCGTGCCCCTCCAATTCTAGTCGTTTTTGCGCACCATGGGCAAGCTACTTGGGCTCACTAGTAATAAAATAGCACTGTTCCTCCACATGTAATGGACCTTTCTGCTAGAGTTATATGCAATTTTCTTGACAATCCATCCGGGAGGTTTCGCCTTTTTTTTATTTCTCTTCCCTTTTATCTTTTTCTCTACATGTTTTTCATTTTCTGGACATCCTTTGATTTTCCTTTGAATTTTAGAATATTTTTCTGTCCGTATTTTGGCGTTCTTTTCCTTTTTTTTTCTTTGCGAAATTATTAACATTTTTTCAAATACCTTATTTTATATAGTGGGAATATTTTAAAATACATTATTTACATTCTTGAATACTTTATAAAATCACGAATAATTTTAAATTTATTAACCTTTTCATTCAAATTCATGAAGTTTTTTCTATTCTGGACACTTTTAAATTCGCCATTATTTTAAAAACATGAAGACCATTTACATGTTTGAAAATTTATTCAAGTACATGTTAAAAAAAATTAAACACACGTTGAACGGTTTTTTGAATGGTAAAAAGAATATTTGTTTAGGTACATTTTTTAATTATTTTAGTAATTTTTAAATAAAATTCACGAACATATTTGAAATACGTAAACTGTTTTGAAATGTCAAGAGTAGTTTTTGAATGGTACAAGACATTTTCTCAAAATAGCACAATAATTTTTCACGATATAAACATTTTGAGAAAAATGTTATGAAAGTATTTTAAAACGCATGAGCATTTTTTATAAATGTCAAAAAGATTTTTTCAATGGTATGAAACATTTTTTTCTAAATTAATTTGTATGTTTTAAATTGTACTAACCTTTTTAAAATGTCAGGAGTATATTTACTAAATGTACGGATACTTTTTAAATGTGACAAACATTTATTGGCTACTATGAACATTTTGAAAAAAATTGCACATAGTTTATTTTAACACCACATGATGACTTTTTAGACACGTTATGGGTATCTTTTAAAATGTGAAATATTTCAAGTCATTTTTTTAATAAAAGTCATATGGAAAAGAAATAATAAATAAAAATAACTGAACATGACATAATACATAAAATGGTCATCTAGCTCTCCTCGACCGAATTCTGCCCTACCTCCAGTCA